AAAATATGTGGAACTGATTCATTTTTCTAGGAATTCAAGTTCTTCCAGGGTAGTTTACCAAGAGTCCTTCATTATGAACAAACACATCCTTTACAATTCTTTTTGTTGTTGGTGATTTTTTTGTTTGTTGTTTTTTGAGACAGGATTTCTCTGTGTAACGCTGGCTGTCCTGGAACTGGAACTCACTTTGGAGAACAGGCTGCCCCAAACTCACAGGGATCAACCTGCCTGCTTTCTGAGTGCTAGGATTAAATGAGTGTGCCACCACTGCCAGGCCCCTTTATAATTCTTTTAATATTGTATTTATTATGGCACATAGAAAGAGAGGCAGGTTGTGGGAGAGGGTAGCAACTTCTGCTCTATGTATCACAGTCAAATTTTTAAAATTTAAAGATTTCCTACGATGTTAGATTTGAAAATATTAACTGGATATGGGTTATGACCAATCAAACTACCTTGTTGGCACTGCCCTAAATTAAAGTGTGGTGGATACTGTATTCATCAATATGTGCCAATCAAAGCCAACTTGAAATAAAAGTGGAGTTTTCTTACTTCAACAGAGAGAGCTGGTATTGGGGCAGTGACTGTAATGTCATCTATGTATACTGACCATTAACAAACAGGAAAACATCTAGTTCTTAAAGGTTAACAGAAAATAAAAGATACCTTTTTTCCGCCTCTAAAATATATTCTACTAGGTAAATCTTAATTTCTTTGTTTTCTCAAAGTGCTGTATTTTCTTCACTCTTCCTACAATGAACTGTAACAAACAATGACTCCATGTCACTTACAACTATCAGGGGACACTGGATATGCCTTCACCATTCTTGTTCTCATGCCAGGAAATAAAATTTTATCCAAACAATGCTTAGGCCAGTGCTAATAACTCTCTTCAGGCTATCCGGTTATCTGCCTTTAGCAACATTGACTGAGTGCTTGCTATATGCTGGGCACTCTTTCACATACCCTTTGTATACTATGCCCCTTCCAGCATTTTCTCCCATTATGTATATCTTACCACTTCCATCTATACAAAGACCTGCTCCTAAGATGTGCCCTGTGGAACAGAAGCCTAGCTCAACTGGGGCACTGTCCTCTGCCCTGGCTAGTTAATAACAATTTAATACATACAATTAAAACTTCCTTATGAATGCTAATTGTGTAAAGCAATGGTTCATGAGAGGAAACACTTTCAGATCCTGGATGAGAATGTACAGTTGGGCCCTGGACAGTCTGTGAGACACACTGTCCCCTTCCCTAAGTTCTCCGGAGCTGAGAGCCTAGTGTGTGCATCTGCAGTTTTAAAAAACTATACTTTGCAAAAACAAAAATAAAAACAAACAACAACAAAAAACCCAGAGGCATAAGGACACTTGCTTAACAGATTGCTTACCCTAAGGTTGAAGTGCTCACTTCAAGGCATGACAGAACAAACACCTCGTGGAGTCCTAAAGGATCTCCAGAAGAAGACCCTAGAGAAAAATCCGCCACAGAAAGGACCCACCAGCCATGTTTTGTGAAGAAAAACTGAGTGAGCATGGAGTTCATGGAGCTACCAGGGTGGCCATCTCAAAACAGTGCTGAGCAACTGTTATACAGGCCCCACCAGCACTATGAGTCCTTTGGGAAATACCTCTTTCTCCTCTTTCCGACTAGAGACAGTAATTGTCTATTTTCTTTCTATGGGCTATGAATGAAAAGGTGCAGGCACACACTCAGGTGTATCCTCCACTCACACCAGTATTTTTGCTAAGTCCCAACTCACTGACAGGCTGGCTGACACCATAATGACTTACAAACAATGGCATGATTAGGGGGCTAGCATAATGAACACGTAATGATCACACATGCACTCTTCAGAAAATAAAACCAAAACCCTACTTTCAGAAAGGAGCTCACAGATGCCACTGCAGAGCAGTGTCCTCAGGCTCTACGCTCTGAGGATGTCGTCCAGGCAGACACCACTTTTTCTACATTAACAAGGACATGCAGGGTGGTGCACTGTGAGACAGGGAAAGGTGAGGAACTCTTTAGGTCAGCTGACCTTGACTCTCACAAAGTAGACGGAAGAGGCTGTGTCCTCTCTAACTGCCCTGCTAGCCTATTATATATACCCACAAGAACCCAAGTTAGCCTGCCATCACAATACATAGTGCCCAAATCACAGCCACATCCCTCCAGCTCATATTGATGCTTGCTTATCTGTCCTTCCTTCCATCTTTTTTTAATATTGCCTGTGATCAGAATCTCTATTGTTTTCATTTTTGAGGCAGGCTCTCATGAAAAACAGCTCCTCCTCTTGGGTCTCCCCATGGCTGGCCTCAAATTTGCTACATAAGTGACAAGGACCCTGAACAACATCCTCCTGCCTCTACCTCCTCAGTGCTGGGCTTAGTGGCATATGCCACCATACCTTGCTTTATGCTGTGTTCTGGGATGGAACCCAGAGCTTTGAACAGGCTCACTCACGTGGGCACTCTTCCAACTGAGACGCGCCCTCAGCCCCACAGACACATCTCTAATCAGTGCTCAGCTCAAACACCTGCCATGGCTTCCCTCCACCTACAGTCCTGATCGAAAGAAACATGTGACCCCATCTAAGGGCGTCACAGGAGGGTCCAATGTGCTTAGCGGCACAGTCTTCTATGTCTCACACACTGCTGTACTTTGGGCAAGATCTCCTTTGTTCTTTCTTTGCTTGTGTTAGGACTTCAGCCTCAGCACCTTTTCATTTTTTTCCTAGTCGCACCTGGCAAAATCCTTGTCTCATACATTATCTTCCTCTGAGACTTTCATTTCATTCTCTCCATATCCTGGCAGCTCCCTCTAAGTCCATACTAGCTGTGCTCATACATGCCTGGGACACTCATCTCCTTAATAATTTTGAGAAGTATGTAAGCATTTAACCCATGGAAGTCACATGTCACTATGGAGCAGAAAAAGTCTCCATCAGTAACAGGGACAATATAATGGACAAAACTTAAAAGATTCCTGCCCATTTTCAGGAGACATGCACTGAAAACCTCCAGACTGCAAGCGATTTAAGGCTTCTCTTCCACCAGACACTTGAAGTAGCTGGCAGTGCTGCCCACATGGGGATGCTCTTAAGTGCTTTGGAATCAAACACCCACCTCCCTTCCAAAATGACCTCACAGGGCTCCTGTTTTCAGCAGCCAGCCCCTCCTGACAACATCTATCCCTGGAGCAAATACCTGCTTTCAGATGAGGGGGATTAGTAACAGGTAAGATGGTGTGGAACTTCCAGGTTCATGGGAGCTCTGGCCACTAACCTCAGCCACAACAAAAAAGGGTATCCCCCATGAGCAGACAGGGCTGTGACAAGCACACACCGTGAGAGCCTCAGCACAGGGGCAGAGGGAAGCTTCTGAAGCTTGTACCAACCTCCATCTTAACAAGCTCCAGGCAGGCAGGCTTACCATTGATTAGATAGGGATGATTGCAGCACTTTCTCAATTCCATCATAGTGTTTAAAAGGTTAGGTACGTTAGCTTGTCCACCACCTTTGGAAAGAAATGTAAAATTCTTCTCAAGGATGGCTCGGTAATATTTCTTCTGAATGTTTGTTAGCTCAACTTCAATAATAGTTTCTTCTTTGGGGGCCAAGTTCTTTTCTACATCCTCTTTGAGACGTCTCAACATCATTGGCTTTAGAATAGCCTGTAGTTTTTGCACCTAAAAAAGGACCTCATGTCAATACTGGTATCTCCATTTCCTTGTGTGTTAAAACATTCTGGCATATTAAAAAAGGGGAGACTATCTTATTTATTTAATATCCATTTTCAGTTTTCAAAGCCTAGGAGGAATATAAAGGAGTTGGGTGGCTTATGTCAAAGAGAAAACTTCACCTATCCAGAATTCCTGTAGAGCCTGAAGGGCTTGAAAACCTCAGAGCAGGTGTTGGGGGAGGGTATTTATTTAGTTTTCCTTTTTGTCTTGGCCATGGAGATGAACAGGAAGAGGGCAGGAGCAATGTCAGAGGCTCTATGCTTCTCTTCCTTTATGGAAGGAGATGAAGAATGAGGGTGAGGAAGCTGGGAGGCATCACCCTGCATCAGTGACCAAACCAAGGAGGGACATCACCCTCTGGTTCTCTTCTCACGGATTGGCACAACACTGTTGCCTTACAGAGGAGAAACAAAATGGACCACTCTGAACAGAACCAGAGCTTTTAGCCAGTAAGCTGGAAACGGGGCAAATAAGTCCAAGTTCAAGCTTACAAATACATTTATTTCAAAATGAGTGAGGTGTAAGCCTTGGCTGGCTCGCTGACAGGAGGCTCCACGTGAATTAATATGCACACAACTCTTAAGGTGCCTACAGCCAGCACCTATTTCTCACACACAAGACATTTGGTTTCTCCCAGAAATCCAGCGGGCCAGTTGTACCTCCAATTTTGAAAAGAAAATAAGTAGGCTTGAAGCAGTATGGATCAGAAATGACAGTAAGGACCCAAAACTCCAGTAGACAAGTGGTTCTACAAACCACAGGGGCTCCTGACACTAACCCTGAAAGTCTATGCTGCAGAGGCCGTAACCCAAATGGCACAAAAATCTCAGAAAGTTGGGTTTGTAAATAAGCTGCCTATAAAAACTCAACAGGCTTTTGTGGGGGCCGAGGGACAAACAAGATCACCTTCGTAATGATGATTTGAAGTTCTAGGGAAGGGTACCCAATGCTGTTTTCAAGGGTGGCCAATACTGTGGCATAATCCTTACATCTTAAAATTCACAGAAGGCAAAGCTTTGCCATCTCAGGAGTTCATCTTCAGTTTTGTGACTGACAGGCAAAGTGAAGGGGTTAAGTACCTGCTCTTCCGTTTTCAGATCACCAAATTCTTGCATAAAGGTTGTTTCTGAAGGGAAGCGACTTGGCTCCAAGAAATGAAGCAGGCTGAAGAGCTCTTCCACAGTGTTCTGCAACGGAGTCCCCGTCAGCAGCACTTTGTGTTCCTATAACAACATGAGGAAAACAACTTGCCTAACTGGAACATAACAATTTCTTAGCACTTTTCTCTCTGTATCTATTCTGCCCTACTTCTGCTCACTGTGGTGGGTCAGCATCCGCCATACACAAAGTGTATAACTTAGAACAAAGGGAAAGAAATACAGACATGCGTGGTTCCTGCGCTTCAGGTAAACACAAACACAGAGAACACCATGGCAAACTGTAGACTCCTTCTCTGTGCCCTGCCACTCTGTTTGAGTTTTCTAGGTTGATATTTAAGGGTGAGCGTTGTCTAAGTCCCCCAATCTCAATGTTTTCTTTCTCCACTGTAGTTAAATTTTTCCTCAAGTCCCTAGAGACAGAGACACACTCCTTTCTGTTCTCTACATCGGCAGGATGTTCACCTTTCCATCTGCTTCCTGCATGACTCACCGTAGAGACAAAAGAAGTGATTCTAAATGCAACAGCACATAAAAAATGATTTGTTCTGAGAAAATTTCCAACTAGCAAAGAGGCTGTCTTAGTTTTAAATACCAAAGTCACTTAAAAAAAAAAAATCCAACGCTTATTCTGACTTTATGTCTTTGAAGGGCATTATGTCTTTCTTCAGCTAGTCTTCCAGTTTGTGAGCCCCTCTCTCCAGCTCTTGATGCAACTATTCCATCTCTTTCTATTTCCACACTGGCAACAGAGATGCCTTTTTTAGATTGATCAGGATTAACAATGGTAAATTAACTTAAAAATGGTTTTTGAGACAGGGTCTCATGTGTCCCATGCTGGCCTTGAACTTATGATCCTCCTGCCTTCACCTCCTAGGTGCTGAGATGTTAGACACACATCACCACCCCAGGTTTTATAGAGTGCTTTGGGGGCCGGGTCAAACTGACCTAGGGTTTTGTGGATGTTAGGCTCTACCAGCTGAGCTAAACTTTTAATCCTGAGCTATAAATTTTAAAGGCCTTAATAGTTCCTTCTTTGTTTAGTATTTGGCACATAACAACAAAATTATTTTAGGAAGTGACTGTTTCAAAAGAAAGATTTTCTAGTTTAACTTAAAATCTGACCATGCAGGACATATGCCCACTAAACCCTAGTGAGATAGTCTAAGTAATGGGAATATCTACCAGATCAATCTGTCAATCAAGTTCCTTAACAGTAAGGTGAAGCAGTTCCATGCTTTTGTTCCTTTTTTCTTCCTCTCAGCACACGTCTCTGATTAAAGAAGATGGATGAATCACTATCATCATTAGGCTCATAAAGTGTGAGCAATCTGCAAAGGAATTCAAGGTCTTCTGACTGGTGAGTTGTAAGGGCCATGATCACTGATTTGCTAAGGTCCTGAATGACTTTATCCAAGACTGTTTGAAAGTACAGTCACAGAGTGAGGAAAGAATCCCTGAGGAATGGTACTGATGCTATATTGAATGTCTTGGAGCTTTCTCAGACTCTCTTAGTAGCTTAAGCTCCAAACACTTAATTTAAAAGTTAAAGACTTTTTTTGTTTGTTTGTTTTTTGTTGTTGGTTTTTTTTTTTTTTTTTTTTTTTGAGACAGGGTTTCTCTGTGTAGCTTTGGAGCCTATCCTGGCACTCGCTCTGGAGACCAGGCTGGCCTCGAACTCACAGCGATCTGCCTGCCTCTGCCTCCTGAGTGTTGGGATTAAAGACATGTGCCACCAATGCCTGGCTAAAAGTTAAAGACTTTTAAGTACGTTCATTTCAAAGTAAACTCATTTGGAAAAAGGGAGCCCCATCTTGGGCTATTGGGGATTATCACCTCCAGTCTCAATGCAGAGGCAGAGATGCTTCTGCCTTGAAAACACGATTGCTCTCTTTAGTGCGGATGGAGGATTGTACTTAATTTCATTTTAGCAACACAATTTTGTGTGGAGCCTCCTGTCCATGAATGAGAAGACAACAGAATCAATGAAGACCTACAACAATCTCAGGACAACCCCTTTGTTGAGGGCTTTCCTTTCAGAGCTTTTATGGAGGACCACGGTGACCATGATTACTCCCTACACATCTCCACTTCCTTTGCCATGGAGTAGAAAAGATACCCAGTAACCTTTGACTTTGAGATCATATTCATCAAGCACATTCTCACCCCAACGCAGTCTAGTGCAAGTAACAATGATCCCTAAGATGCACAGCCCTGCATGCACAGGGCTCCTTTTCTCTCTATGTAACTACCTCAAGAATATAGGAGTCTGAATAACAAAGTAAGGATTTAAGCACCAAGCAACCAGCTATTCTGAAATGCATCAATACAAGGACATTTTGAATTTGAACAATGATACTATCTTCCACCTTAAAAAAGCATCTCTTCTGAGATAGGTCATTGGAGACTTCCAGTGCATTAGCCAAAATGTGTTACAGGCACACTGGCTGTGACAATCAGAACCTAGGACAGGTCTTCCACTGAAAGGGGAAGCTTCAGCCTTCTGTCTAACTCAGTGAGGAAAACATTGTTTCCCTATGTGCTATTATGCACATATTTTGACATGTAACAGAAAAGTTATTTCTGTTCCAGATTCCAATCCATTAATGTTAATTTCTAAAGTATCTCAAAGGCAAGTAAATTTTCTGGTGTTGCTAGAGATAAATAAATCTTTCTCATTAACAAAGGAGTGTTTTACAATGAGAATCCACTATTTTGAGACATGGGAACTAATAATAAAATACAACTTAACACAAACTCAGCGACATGACATTAAGCCTTCAGAAAGAGACTATACAACCGTCTCTAAATGAATCATCATGAAGGCACATCCCTGCTCTGAAGACACAGTTAACACAGGCTGTGAACATTTGAATTTACCTACAAAGAAAGGATTACTTCACTGCACTGCTGAAGTGTCACTTAGAGAAACCAAGACACCTAGGAGTTGTTCCTGCTATAAAGATCCAAGTCAAGACCTTTCTCTGTTTCTAAATGCTCATGTATGTTGCTTTGCAGACTGGCTACCTAAATTGGTGAGCTGCTTTACAAAAGACTTAGGACAATGGTAAGTTATTCGACAGAAAAATGGGCAATGCTACTTTAAGTAGGAAAAAAATCAGTCAGACTTCTTCCTTAAGCAAAATTAGATTTGGCTTATTTATGATTAAAAGAATGGCTGGTTAGCGCAACCCGTTGCAAAGGTCTGATGGAAAGCTCTAGCATCTTTTCAGTAGTTGAGGTCTTCAGTAAAATGTAGATAGCCCCGAACATGCAGAAGGTCCCTTCCACTCTCAATAACAAGCCATCTACAGAGATTCTTTAGTTTCTTGAAATTCATCAAATCTGCCAACACAATTTAAATGATACATTAGGAATGAGAGAAGCAGGGCTGGTGAAACGGCTCATTAGATAAAGGGCAGTTGCTGCCAAATTGACAACCTGAGTTCGCTTGCCAGAAGCCACGTGGTAGAGAGAACCAACCACACTCCCCTGTCACTTCCATGGTGCACCATGGTATGTGTACCCCCAACAAACAAGTAAATAAATGTATGGAAGGGTAGAGAGAAGGAAACAAATGGTCAGACTGTGCTGCAAACTACAGAGCAGGAAGGAATTCAAGGACAATGGCGTTTGTAGCAACTTCTGTCAGAGGATTGCACACACAGCAGCAGGCACAACAAGTAACCAGATGCTGCTGTTCTTACACTATTCCACTGGTAAGTATTCTAATAGGAGGGGAAAATCTTGTAACATCAAAGTAGGGAGACATGGCTATTTCTTTGGAAACTGGAAGAGTATAAAATAAAAGCATGGTTTAAAAACCCAGAACCAATGTGAGGTCTTCAATATCCCAAACTTTTCAGCATCTGTACAAACTGAACAGATGTCCCAGACAACTAACTGTGTATATATACAACTGGCCCCAGTGAGGCAAAACCACATGCTTGGAAACATAGCTGGACTGTCACCACTGAGGCCCTGTTTGGCAGATACTTGAAACTGACGATGGTGAAAATATCACAACTACATTCTGCTGTCATACCAGACAAAGGGTAGGAATGAGGAAGGCCACAGCAGCTTCCAAGTGGCTAAACGGATGGGCTTGCAGGTGCCCTTCCCAGGCAACACATTCAAGCAGTAAGACTAAAGTGACAATACTGAGATTGCATCACCAATGGTCACTAACCAAGTCCATCATCTTCAGTCCTTCCAGCAGCTTGCAGTTCCTGTTCTTCAGTCTGTGGGCTTCATCAATGACCACACAACGCCAGGGAATATTGCGCAGCTCAGGGCAATCTGTCAGAATCATCTCAAATGTAGTGATGATGGCATGAAACTTATAGGATCCTTTTATCACTCGACCCTACAAGAACCAGTGGTTACATTACTATATTTGAGAATAAGGACAAAAAAGCCACTAAAATGTATGTATTTAATCCTTTGTAGACCTCTGCGTTTTAGCTAGCACATTCTGTTTTCAAGTTACTTTGGCTAAAACAGAATTTTAAAACATTTCCCTTTTAAAAAGAGCTAGGGAAGTGCTAGGAAAGTTTGGGGTCAGATTTCCTTAAAGATCATATGTAGCAAAGTGTCATTCAGTGCATGTAGTCTAGTCACAGCCCACAGAACCTGAGGTGGAAGGTCAAGGGAAGCTTTAATTGGTTTACAAGTTTCTCTAACTTATTTTTTAAAACTTGTTTTATTAACATTTCTTGTAAAATGACAAAACATTTAAAATTAAAAAAATTCAAAAACCCAATGAGGATAAACCTTATAGTTTCTCAAATCTAAAGATAAATACAGATTTCAGTATTTTCCCCCTTTAACGGTAGGCCACACTTTCTGTTTCAAGAGTACATATACATTTTTTTTTTTCCCCGTTTTTCAAGACAGGGTTTCTCTGTGTAGCTTTGGAGCCTATCCTAGCACTCACTCTGGAGACCAGGCTGGCCTTGAACTCACAGAGATCCGCCAGTCTCTGCCTCCCGAGTGCTGGGATTAAAGGCGTGCGCCACCAACGCCCAGCAAAGCTTACACGTTTTAGCATGCACCATCCCTATCATGGCATGCGTAATGCTTCCCTGCCAATATCAGGCAATAATTACAAGCAGGTAACTACAACAAGACAAAATTAAAGCAATTCTTACAAGAGTATTAAAGTCTTCTTTGGTGTACTTGAATTTTTAAAATACTTTATATTCTTTCACTTCTGCTCATAGTACAAAATGTTCTCTCTGATCACATTTTCATATTGTTTTCTGTTTGGTATTGTCTTGGACATATAAAACAAAGCTAAGCTACTAATACGTTATGGAGTTTTATGATCATCAAACGTTAAGCAAATTATTCCTTCTAATTAAATAATCAGAATGACAAGTGCTAAAGATATAAAAAGCAGCATTCACAGATGTAGAAAGATTATGCAAACATGTAATGGATAAGAAATCTCAAGCAAGTTTCTCAAGTCAGCAAATCAAGGCATCACCACATCACAGAGACTTGAGTCTATAACCACCCCCTCCAAACAACATACACAACACACACAGGTGTCAACACTTTACCTGGGGATCTTTGAAGTACATTTCATACAACTGAATGGTCCGACGACTAGCTTGGCTCCCATGATACACAACCACATTTAACTCCGGAATTCCCTTTCCCAGTTGGGGATTGTGGACAATGGGGCAATTACTAAAAAAGGGCCATGGATTCCTTTCAAATATATCTCATAGAGAAATGTAATGGACTGGATAGTCTTTCCCAAACCCATTTCATCTGCTAAAATGCAGTTTCGCCTTTAAGAAGGAAAAAAAGACAGAAAAGCTTAGTGAGTTTTAACTATTGTTCTCCTTTCACAAAATACATAAACATAAACACATACCCCATAACTATAACTACTTTCTTCCTTGTTTTGTTTTTTGGAGGCAGGGTTTCTCTGTGTAACAGCCCTGGCTATCCTGGATTTCACTTTGTAGACCAGGTTGGCATCAAACTCACAGAGATGTGCTTGCCTCTGCCTCCCGAGTGCTGGGATAAAAGGCATGCACCGCCACTGCCCGGGGCTGTTAACTATTTTCTTAATTCAACAAAATACATTTCCCAAAGGAAATTCGCTAAGAAAAAAAAATTTCTACATAGTTCTGTCAACCTCTTAATTTATTTGATGAATAAATTTATTTATTTGATGAATAAATTAAGTTTATTCCAACAGACTTAAAAGAAATGTGTTAGAGCATTAAATAGTAAAGATTTTTAAAATTAGTATTTCTAATACTACAAAGGACTAGAGCTACAGTATTTGTTAAAAGTGCAGAGAAACATGTTTTACATACATGTTGTACCAATTGAAAAGTAGCCAGTTTACTCCCTCCAACTGGTATTCCCTGAGTTTGTTATTGTTTCTATACTCCCTGGAACTCTCCGATTTCTTCCAGTCATCAGCAGGAGGTCGCTCCTGTTCCAAATACAGTAAATCCCATTAGTGGTTTCTCCGAGACTGTACCCGGATGCTATTTCCAAATTAAACCCTTCACCATAGGCCAGTCCTCACCACACGCTCTGTTTCCGGCTCCCTGGACATAAGCTTTTCAAACTCTTCGATCTTTGCTTGATCTATGTCCTGCCTCAGCTCCCAGGTGCTGTCTTCATAAGGGAGTGAGCACCACTTCACCAGATAGTGAGTCACAGGCTGGACCGGGTTCAAAAAAAATCAGAACTGAAGTCATTTGACTGAAGTATTACATATCAAGGAGAAACCTGTGCTCTGCTTTGTTTATCAGTATAACCCCAGCATCAGTAAGACTGAATTGCCCATATCTGAAAACTATAACCACTGAGAGTTGTCTCCAGTGTACACTGGAAACTGTACTATTGGGTATTAACAACAACAAAAATTAACTTTTTATCTGAATCATTGGTTCATGACCAAAATATCAAGGAGTAGGTAATGAATAGCAAGAAGCCAAATTAAAGGCTCATTTTTATCTGTCAATCACTCATCAAATATACGATATAGATTTATACAGTAAACCATCTTAGCGCCTTTTTTATATAACTGATTAGTTGCCTGAAGAGTGAAAAACAAATGTATTAGACAAATCTACTTTTCCCTTCAGTTATATTAAGATAATGAACTTGAGTTCTAGAAGAATTAGGATAAAATATTTTGGGTGATCTGTGTCGGCGGGAATTCTCCTCTTAGTCCCCTTTAGAAACATTTGAGTCTTGATCTTCAGTTCAAGACCAAGGTACACTGACTGGTCAGAATTATTTGCTGACAATGCAAATCTGCTTCGAGACAGTTCCCCCCCCCCCCAAGTACAACTAAACAAGGCAACAAAGGCAAGGACGGCATCATAGATGCGGTCTTTGAAACACTTCGAGCTTCGTTACACAGTTTAGAGGAAAGGCAGCACTCCTTGGAGGCTCTCTGGAGCTCAGCACTTACATAGGAAGCTCAGGTCCACGGAGGAACCAGGAGTGCTGGAACTCATGGCAGAGAGTTACAAATGGCTGAGATAAGCTCCATTACCAGACTCTCTCTCATCCTCACTTCCCTATTGATTCCTTTAGTCTCAGAGGTTTATAGAACAACACAAGCTAGCCAGGTCTGGGACACCTCAAGGGACCCCACTGAATGACATTCATCAGCTTCACTAAGAATGTCCAATGCCAACTACCACTGAACTCCATTCTTCTACAAGTGTGCTATCAATTGCACAAGGAAACTTGTGCTGCAGATACATATATACAAAATGTGTTGAGGTCTTTATTGATCAGCATAGAATTGTGAATTTTTTTAAACACAGTTTAGACTGAAAACATTAAAAGTGAAACTATTTGTACTAAACAAAAAATATTTAGTGCTATTAAGTGACACAACTAAGTTTCAGTTATGTGCCTGCATGGTGGAGTTTCTGACCAGGCCCAGGCCTTTGATTTTGTCCCTTCTGTCAACACATGTGAGCTGCCAGAACCACCCTGTGTAACACAGATGATCTGTTACCTCGCCCCGGTCATCTGTGCTACGTGCAAAGTCCATTATCCGGTCAACTTCCACATAATCTGGATTAAAAAGATCATCCTCAATCTGTTCCAAAGGAGGAAAAGAGGTTAAAATATTTATTCATCTCTTCAGAAAAACACTATTTCACTTTTCACTAGGCAACAATATTTTGGGTCGCAGCAACACAAACTTTGTATTTGACATATTCTATTCTATTAACTGAAATGCTATAATTTAACAAAACCACTCCCCGTGAGGAAATCAAACTTCTCAGACTTTGTTAACTGGGTATTTTAATTACTGTGTGAAACCTTTTACTATGAGGGAATGTTTAAGAATATTTCAAATGAAGTGTGAAATTACAATTCACTAATGAGCAATCCAAAAGGCTTATGGCATGCAGTACATTTAGCATTCTTGGAAGTACAGTCTGCGGTGAAGAGTCAGAGCCATACAAAGCATGTGTAAGTGCATCTCAGAACCACTGAATCTTCTGACATGGTAAGCCACCATGTACAGAAGGTCAGGCATAAGCTACAAACCCTGAAAGAGGCAGGTTTCCCATTTTACCATGAGCATGGTAGCATGGAAAACTCTGCCAGCCAGTATCACTTAGAATAACAGTCTTCTGACTAATCTTAAAACTTCCAATGCTTTATCTGTACTCAACACTGAGTGTTTTGGTAAACAAATTCAAAGAAATTAAGCCTAAGTCAAATATTACTTAACTAATATTCTAAAGGTATTTACAAAAGCAAAGTAATATGGCTTACTTAGAAAGAATACAAGAGCAGCATATGGTTCAAAGAGGTTATAGTTACATGAAAGAACCGACTGTGGCTACCATGAAGTCACAGGCCATGTCATACTTTAAGAAGTCCACACCTGTGATTTCTGATCTGAGTCAGAAACAAAAGCCACATCGTCATGTGTTGCTGTGAATTAGTTTGCTAACATTTTTTAATCTAACTTGCAAAAGGCAGCTTGGAAGTCAGATAGGTCTCATTCTCCATCCCTTGAAATAGTGAGCTGTCAGTCACATAACTGTGTTCACGGAAGACACACTCTGGGCTATTTGAACCCAGTTAAAATGTCCAAATTGTGAATTGTGAAACACATAGCACAGGTGCAAAACTGTGCATCTGCTGTCGTGGGCTTTCTAACAGAGGTGAGCAGTGAGGAAACAAGAATATACTACAGTGGTCACTTATTTAAAGTGTCAATATACTGATGCATTTAGCTTTGCCAAAGCTTCTGGTCTCTTTAAGACCACTTCCTTTTTTTCAACATGAGCTCTCATAGTCAATGTTCAATTTGCCTTCCCCTACACCCCTCCTCTTGAGGGAGCACTCTGTGACATCATACATATGCTGGACTCTCCTGGCTTCAGTGTGAATTCTGAACAGACTGTAGATGTAGCAGAGTTGGGAAGCCTAAGTGCCAGTAAAGAATGCAAGAGCAGCCATAGCCAGAGATCCTACAGGAACAGAGATGAGGGATGTGTGAAGCCATGATCACCAATGGGACTGCATGTATGTAGAAGGATGGACAGACTTGTATTCTTTTCTGCTAACTCTCATCCAGGATAGAACTAACCGGGAAGATAATGCTTTGCATCCTGGGTACAAGTGACTCAAACAGACAAGTTCAGACAAACAGGCTGTACATTAGGACCAGGCACAATTCCCTGAAGAGTGTGTGACTACAGCAACCAGGATCCAAATGAATTTAATAAACTGGACCACGATTTAAGGATGGGAAAAAGATCCCATTGTGTTTTCCCCTTTCCCTTCTACGGAGCCTCAGAAAAGGTCAACAGGACATATGGTCCCCCCTCTCTCGGGATGCTGCTCACCCAGCATCTCAAAATAACTTTACATTCATTAAGAAGGGCACAAGAAATTGAAACCCACAGCTTTTTGTTTTGTTTTTTAGTCCACGCTTTCAAAGAAAGAATCGTCTTAATATTCTCCTAGGTGAGATACCAGAGTCACATTCATTAGCCCAATCCTCTCAGTATCGAGCACTCACTGCTCCCAAGGCATCAGAGCGGGAGTGTGAGCCCAGAGGACACAGTACAGCCCCCTCTGGCTCTCTGCCTGCAGGTGTCCTGACAGCAGGCCAGGAAAGCACACTCAACCTGAGGCTCTTGTAAGGATTTTATGGCATTATAAAAATAATGCTTTTTCTTTCTTGCCATCCTCATCTCCACAAAGGGGTAAACATGAAGGCAGCTGTCCAGCAGTCAGCATCTTACAATACTGATATTTGTTGTAGCTATACTCAGTTAAGTCTTAGTTATTTACAATTTGCTTTTTGCCCTGTCAATGCGGGAGGGTTGAACCCACTTGCAAGCAAGTGTCCTACTACTACTGAATTATGAGCTTGGCCCTCGTTTACTCTTTCAGGAGAACAGCTAAGAGATCAAGTCATCTCTTTGAAAATTAGAGAGTTGCTGCTTTGTAAAATCTTCTTGTCTTGTATGTGAGGCTAACAGTGATCTGGAGTCCAGAAAGTCAGGCTAAGCAGCTTGTGGAAGCTTCCTTTAAAAATGTCCCTGACCATGTTAGGAGTCGGTCCTCTCCTCAATGCAGATCTCTGTCTCTCGTAAGTGATAACTAGGGTAGGAGACACTGTCTCCCCTCTGTGCAGTGGCACACAGCATCTGTTCAGTGACCTCTGTGAGATGCAAAAACTTCAACAGCAGCCATCTGCCACACACTACCCCAGTCAAGCCTCCACACCTACTCAAGTTTTTGACCTGCTCTCAGTAGACTTCTGCCTGCTCACTTTGTTCAGTTCTTAGCTGCTTGTAAAACACCATGGCCGCTACTTCCACATGTCATAAGAACCAGTATTTTCTACATGAAGCCAGCAGAAGAGTGACACATTTCCTGTTTATAAAATTTAGCAATACCAATTACCAATATGCAAGTAACAGCACCAAATGAGGACAACCAGTCTTTGTTAAGAGTTTACTGACCTACAAGTCAAACTTGACAGTATCTTAATAAAGAAAACATTTCAAAGATTAATCAAGTAGTTCATACCTCTGAAAGGAATTTGTTCTGGCCCTGTTTCGACTTAAATCGTTTTATCTTTTGTTGAATTCTCTTATCTTTCTCTAGATCTTCTACAGATGCCCACTGACAATGAAGATAAGAGCTGAAAGAATAAAACAGCATCCTTGAGACATAATCATTGCATGTATGCCTTTTTAAATCATCAAAAAAGATCCTTCACAAAAACCCCGCTGATAGTGCCAAGCAACATTTAATATTGCCACCAATATTTGAAAATAAGAGAAAAATCAATAATGTAACAGTACTTAAAAGTTGGTTCTGCCAAGCCTTGTGCTTTACCCACTACCCATAAATTTTTTTAAAATTAAAATCAATCAATCAATCAATCAATCAATCAATCCATCCATCCATCCATCCATCCATCCATCAATTAATCAATCAGTCAAACAAACAAAGGAGCCCAAATAGCAAGGTGTTCTTCTAAGTTAACAGATTACATGTCAGTATCAAACAATCAGCACTGTTGGGTGGCCTTAACTATGAAATGTTTCACGCCTTTTTGTCTTTGATAAATAAATGGTTTTTATTAAGTAAGAACTCAAAATTAAAGTCTCAGTTCCTTTGGGGATACGTAAGAGGAGCAGTATGTCCTCATTCATCCAAGGCCTTATGATTAGCTATCAGGAGCAAGGCTTTGGACTGTGCCCATATGACAGAGCTCCTCATCGTTCCTGTATTACCAGCTTGTATTCTTCTAGAAGCTTAAAACAACATCCCTCAGGATTTCCCACTCAAACACACTTACTGGCTATTGTCTACCTCTTAATGGTCAGCTCCCAGGGGCTCTTCCAGACTCACTGCCATGAGCACAGTCTCACCTTTCTTAATCTGAACTGAACATATTCTGAACCCCCATTTCTCCTTCCACAAGACTCAAAAGTACAATCAACACATTGTTCTATTGAATATTTTGAAATCATTTCGTACCATCCTCCTATCCCTAAGAGTTCCCCTGGTCTTGTTTTTCTTTCTGTTGATGGGCATTAAAAAGTTGGTTAATCCCAGCACTCGGGAGGCAGAGGCAGAGGCAGGTGGATCTCTGTGAGTTGGAGGCCATCCTGGTCTCCAGAGCGATTGGCAGGATAGGCTCCAAAGCTACACAGAGAAACCCTGTCTCGAAAAACCAAAAAAAAGTTGGTGCTAAGCATGGTGGTCTATGCCTAAAATCATAGCTCCTGGGAGACAGGGGAGACCAGAGTACATTCAAGGGCAGCCTAGGTGATATAACAAAACCCTGTCTTAAAAAAAACTAAGGGCTCGGGATGTGATTCAGTATCAGAGCACACCACAGTATATGCAAGGCTCTGGGTTCCACCCCCAGCATCACTGAGAAAGGAAGATGGAGAGATACTTGGATCCACAACTCTTCTAGCATCAAGATACTGCTACATAGAAATAAAGTGGCAATTACAGAATCTTCAAAAATGTTTTATATTGATAATTAAGTCCTGATATGTATTTTCAGATGTAGGGTAGATTAAATACTAAAGCTGGGTGAAAGAGGAAAATATTTTAAACACAGTGTCTCACATAGATATGAATTCATATAAACCCTATACAGACAGACACTCACATTCATACACATCCATGCACGCACACACATACACACATAACACACACACCAAGGAGAGAGAAAATAGATCAACAGTGCATGCATCAAAATGTTAATAATTATGAGTAGTAACATAACAAATATTATATCTTCTGGTTTCAACTTGTACAATTTTCTAGCAAATAATACTATAACTACAATGAGAAAACAGCAAACAGCCTACTCCTGTCTTCAAGTTAACTGGCAGAAAAAGACACATGGACACTTAAAATTCTTGCTTTGAGAAAGGAACAAACATATGAGACCACCAGGATGGCTCCAAGCTGGACACAAGCATTTGGGCAAGTGGATCTGACCCTGCTCTGCCACCTGCAATCTGAAATTCTCAGTCAATGACTCCACTTTCTACCTTGACATCCAAAACCCATTATGGAGGCTCAGTCAGGAAAAAAAGAAGAAAGAAAAGAAACCAAGTAAAAGGCTGGCTACTGTCTCTTAGTAAATTAAGGCAACAAGGCAGAAAGTCTTTTTGGCAGACTAGGTAGCACTGAAAACATGAGAAAATGTTCATGGAGGAGAATGAAGAATAGGCTAAAATAACCTGAATGAAGAATAAACTAACAAATAATCTGCATGAAGGCTTACAAAGATCATGGCTTATGGCCACTTTGAAAAAAATCCATTTCAATACATAATCTTTACAAAATGTGCTAAATAATTATTTATACCTAGTGCTAACAAAGATGGTACAGAGAGAAAATTAATTGTATCTATTTCTATGTGTTAGTATAGGGTTTTAAGTAAAATGTTAACAAACGTTCCCATACTACTTTAAGAAAACAGAAGATGAGCCAGTGAGAGGGCCCAGACACTAAGAGATGCTTGCCACTAAGCCTGATGACCTAAATTCAATCCTTAGGACCCAAAAGGTGGAAGGAAAGAACCAACTCCTTCCTGCAAGTTGTCATCAGACAGACAGGCAGGCAGGCAGGCAGACAGACCAACAGTTCCCCATATCCCAAGATGGGGAAAAGAGAGGAAGAAAATAAGACTGACTCCGTAATATAAGGTTGGCTTAGTGTTAAGAAATGTATTTTAAAATATACAACATTAATATATATCTAAGAAGAAAAATCACACAATCATTCCTATTGGTGGTGAACATTGCTTTAACAAAATTCAACACTTACAGTGGCTGTTTTAAAATTCAAGAAACTAGGAATTGATTGGTATTTCATTAACATAAGCAAACATGTAGGGTTTAATCATAAAGCTAGGTCTTACCAGACAAGAGAAGCAACAAAGACTTTTCCACAAAGATCAGGAACAAGGAGGTATGGATAGCCACTATTAAGCAATAGTATATTTGAGGTCCTCACCAATGCCATTAAATAAACTATCTCTATTTGCAGACTATATGATTACAAACACACACAAACCCATTACTGAATCAGTTAGAAAACTAATGCAAAGAATGAAGCAATTCCATAATGCAGAAAGAAATAAAACTGTCATATGGAAGTTAATGGCAGATGTCATTCACAAAAAAAGCCAATGAGGAAGCATTATGCTTTCCGAAAAGTTTTTTCATAACAGCAACAAAGACAAAGGAGTTAGCAGTAAATTTAACACAAAATTTACAAATATGCATATGAATGTTTACACATTCTTAAAGGGACATGAACGTAACAATGAACCAACTAAAAGGACTGTTGGGATTCTATACAGTACAAAGTCAATATCCTAAATCACAAGTAAGTATAATAGAATGCAGAGAAAAATACAAGTAAGCATTCTCATGGAACTAGACAAGTACACTTAAGACAGCTTATATAGAACTAAACATGCAACAAAATCCATAGACACATTAAAAACAAGGGGCAACTAGGAAACATACCAGATATTAAAATACACCACAGTCCCTAGTAATAAGGTGATGACATGAAGAGACAAACTGACCTAAAGCTAAGTCCCCCAGTCCTGCACTCTCTTCTGATTGGTGCATTAACTCACCACACAAGCTGTTCTATTCATTTGCTTGTTTGGTCAACCTAACATAATCTAGAGTCGTTTGGAAAGAGGAAATCTCAGTTAAGATTGTCCTCTAGGCAATGTCACCCATGGTTTGGTGATTCTAGATGTGATAAAAAAGCAGCTGAGCAAGCTGAGGAACAAACCAGTAAGAAGCACTCTTCCTCAGCCTCTGCTTCAGTTCCTGCTTTCATATTACTGCCTTGACTTTCCTCAATGGATTGTAACCTGGGATATGTAAGCCAAATAAACTTCTTCCTCTCTAAGTTGCTTTTTGGTCATGGTTTTACCATAGCAATAGAAACCCTAACTAAGACAGAAATTGGTACCAGGAGTGGGGTATTGCTGTGACAGACCTGACCATGTGTTTTGGAGGAGAATTGTGATGATATGTGTACTCTTGGATGGCAAAGCCACAGAGAGTGCTCAAGAGTTCCATAGGAGCTTTGAAGGTAAGAATTCTGAGACCAGTGCAGCTGATGGAGTCTTGGCTTGTGAAGTTTCAGGGAGAAGTTGGAGAGTCTCCTAAACACTATTGCACTAGTGGTTCAACATTTTGAATTAAGAATCTGTGGTTCTAGTCAGCTGGGACTGAAAAATCAGCTGTGATAAAGAAGAGACCAGCATGATTAAGATGAAGTCTTCTGGGAAGTGTTTCCTCGGCATCAGCATACAGAAGCTCTGTGGTCCAGAGGGGACCAAGGCTGTATGTGATGCTGGCAGGTAGTATGTAAGAGTCTCTGATGTGGCACTGGTTTCTAAGGCATGAAGAGGTCATGGAGAATGCCTGAGGCTGGGCACTGAGAAGTCAAAAGACTCTAAGACATTAGGAGTTTGGATTTCTAAAAAAACCACATAAATGCCAGGTGGGCAGGGATCTGCTTGTAACTCCAGAGCTCACAAGCTAAAACCTTGTCTGACAGGGGTAGCCAGAAAAGGTGTATTGGTGAGTTTTGGGTTCAGTTGAGAGCCTGACTAAATGAATACATACGGTCAGGCAATACTGAAGAAGACCCACAATGCTTCCACATCCATATACATATACATGTATACCCACACACATACATGTGCCTACATGTAAACACATGTATACACACATACAGGAGCAAAAACAGGACAGAGGGCACACATACAAAATATAAATAAACATGTTAGCACACAATGGTTACATCTCAAGTCACCATGGAAAAGACAGACTTCTTAACTATGGTGCTAGAATCATCTAGTTCATGAGCAGCTAACATTTTATTAATGACAGCTCACATACAAGGCAGATGGTCCCATAGTTTTATACAGGATGTGGAAAATTCCTATTGCCTGGTGATGTACATACTGTAATCCCACGGGACCATAAGTTACCCACGTGTTTGTGGTGACACGTGGAAACTTACTACACTGCTGACTGCATAAAACTGCAGCACAAACAAGTAAATACAACCATGGTCCTGGCTATGCATTTAGTATACATTCTTTATTATTATTAAGAGTGAACTTCTACTTACAAGCCATGCTACAGCAGCAGCAACCTTAGACAGGCCATCTTTACCATGACTTTTGATTCCATCTAAAGCATCATACTGATTAACTGACATATACCATCTAGTTCTGACTGAGGACATGCTCTGATAGCCACACAATGCAAGAATTAAATTATGGGGTCCTTCTCAGAATGGGTCCCTGCTGTTGAGAAGAATGAATACCAAACACATCATGCCTTTCAGCAGAAAAAGAACACACACAGTAGAAGAAAGTGTGGACTAGCTGTACTTGTGTACATACTTCTAGTATGACTTGAAAGCCAGACCCAATGAAGGACTGACATGTCTAACTATAGAATGTTTACATTTATTGGGGTGGGGGGGGGTCAGGTGATCCACATGTGGAGGTCAGAGTATACTCTCTGGTGTTGCTTTTTCCCTGCCAACCTTGTGGGATCTGGGGGACAAACTCAGGTTGTCAGGTTTGCACACAAGTGCCGAACCATCTTGTCATTCCCAAGCTTTAAAACTCATACTGCAATAAACTCAGAAAGTTAGCCACCAAGTGAAACTGGTAAATCCAATGGTCTGTGAAGTGCATAATATAATGATGGGGACCTAGGAGCTTCAGGAAATTTTGAGTAAAGTATTTAACCTCTATAAAATCAAGTACAAAATAGTCTAAACAAAGAAACAAAGACAGGCTTCTGGTTCAGACAATTCTCAGCTAGTAATTCTTAATTCTTTTCCTGTGTATTTTAAGGGAAAAAAAAATGTAAAGACAGTAAGGGCCAAGCTTCTTAGGGTTGAAGAGGGGAATTGCTAACACTGAAGGGAGGAAGGGCAGAGGCTACCCTGTGCAGTGGGGGATGGTGCTGGGATTATCAATGGAAGGCACTGTTTTTGTTGTCAGGTAGGCAGATGGATACATGGGTAGAGGCAAATGCATAGGTATAATTAACAGGTACATGTACCTGCAGATCACATGTGCATGTGTTTGCAGGTATGTATACAATCCTAGCAACAACATTTCCAGACAGCAACTTCTCAGCAGCGAGGGGCATCCTCACAGCCTACATTTGGCTCCTACCACTGACTCATCTAATGAAAACACCAAAACTCTCAAGAAGGGGGAAAACAAAACCCAACCTGATTCCACGACTGCAACTGCTGGGAACACAACGCTGGTGTCAGTGCTAAGAAATGGATAAGGGAGAAGCAGGGCCAACTTGAAGAGACTTGCTCTAGTTACATCCAGAGTGATGAGCAAAATACTACTACTTGGGCAAAGAACTCAAATCTACTCAAATGAACACGCAGGTTCTCATGGCTGCAAATTAGCCAGGGCAAAGAATAAAAGCCATCCTTAAGTGAAAATCCCAAACATCCCACCTGGGAGGAATGGAGGGTTGACTTAGCAAGCATCACCATAATTTAATAATTTCAAAGTATTTCATATATAGTCATCACAATAAAAAAAAATCCTTCCTACTATTTCAGCAATTTTTCTACAAACCTGAATTTGTATCAAAAGAAGTTAACAAAAATGTCTACAGAAAGTTTAACTTCCCCTGACATCTTCAAAGTATCCTATAGAAAACTGGCTTTTAGGACTGTATTAAGTGTCTGACAACTCCTCTCTCTCTTCACAGCAGTGCCTGGTACGGGGCCTGCACTCTTTTCTGGAGTCTCCCACAGGGGAATGGATGGCAACACTTGGGTCCCACTGCTACTCTGTCTCCAATGCCTGACTGGTGGTGCAATTACCTGTCAATCAACACTTGACCTCAGGCCTCTGTTTGGTTTGATGCATCCACGGGAACTCCCCCCACCCCAGCTTATTTAGGTTACCTCCTCTTAGCCTACTGTTCCTCTCCTTAAGGATTCACCCACAGGAAATCACAGCATATGAGCAGTTTGCAGAAACTCAACATGAGGACACAATGATGATGACAGCTAACATTCACTGAGCATTTACACTACCAGACCCCATTTCACGGACTCTCATGATAAAACAGAGAGACACTTTCATCTTTTTACTTAAGAAAATGTTTTGCTTACAACCTTTTCAGAAGAGTGACCTTGCATTTACACAATGCCAGCTAACAAGGGACAAAAGCAGGAAAACATGGCACCCAATGGTCTCATTTTTCTAGGGATGACTTCTCAGCGACTCTGAAAATCCTCTCTTTAAAAACTCAGGACTGATTCCCACAGGCTTTAGGGTCTGTCTTCAGAAAGACAAAGCAGAGAGAGCACATGCACGATCAATGGGGATCTTTGTCCTCAGCTGCTTGTCTGGGTAGGAAGGGCTCAGACTTCTTCAGGAGGGTTAAGGACCAATGCCGAAAGCATGCTAGCTGGCCAACATGAGCACACAGATCCTACAACATAGCTCAGGGCAGCTGTGCTTTTCCATTCAGATTAAAAAAAAAAAATTAAACTCAATAAGCAAATATGGAAACTAATTCACATAAAGCCATAGCTCAGTGCATTACAGCCTGAGTGGTAACCTGGGTCTGTGGGCCTCTGTGGGACTTTAGAATTCTCATCTCACAGATGCAGGGAGGGGACCAAGAGCCAGTCTTAAGAGAGCAGGCAACTTTCACTTTCTTTACTTCACTATTATCACATCAGGTGTTTCTGTCTACAAAGACCTTCTTGGTTATATAAGAAAATTTGTGAACTTCTACACAGAAAATATTTTCCAGAAAAACATCTACAAAGTACCAAAAGTAACAAAGTTAGTAGGAAACAATCCTCTGACAAACCAAAGAAACCATATCGGAGTTTCCATGTTCACAATTCCTAAAAAGTTCTGTAGTTCAAGTGTACCCCTCCCCATTGAAAAAAGTCACAATTTACTTACAAGTTTTTGTATTTCACATAAAATTCCTCAACTTCTACCTCCTCTCCAGATTCTTTCTGCAACAACAACAACAAAAAAAAAAAAAAAAATGAGGCATACACTTAGATTGTATACTGCAATATTTCCAAAGCAGCCACACACTCCCACATGGGGACACGACGCCTGCCTGAGAAGGCCTTCCTGGAAAGATGAGCACACAGGGAGCCTTGGCAACCCATGCCACGGAGACTGACACACTCAGGCACATGCACGCTGCTCTACTCAACGTGCTTGTGATTCTACGGCATGAATCATTTTAACTCCTCCCTAACCACATGCAGCTTCATTCACAACAACCTGACCCCAAACCTGGCTGTCTGCCAAACCCACAGTGTTAAGTAGACGCCAAGTGTACCATTTTCTCAGGCAGCAGCCAATTAGCAACTGCTCTCCTGAATGCCATATGTATTATTTTTGGCTGCCTCATGGCAACTTTACATTGTGGGTTTTGTAATGTTTTAAAATATTTAAAAGACATTTATTTCTCCATATAGTTAATAACTCTAAACAAGAAACCATATAAAAGTAAACCTTGTTCTTATGGTGTAATTCAGTGCATCACTATTCATAGTTTGAGTTTTACTCAGTGGAACAATTAAAATTTCTCAGACAAGATGTCTCACACACACAGCAGCCAAATAAAATTAACACTTCCAATCCCACACTTAGGTGGGTTAAAATTGCGATGCATGTCCTCCAAGTCAAGAGTTTCCATGGTCAGACCGCCTACAGAAGGTACCAAAGACAACACCAATGTTATGGTTTAGACATCTCTCACTTTCCCATTTTGCTTTTAGGTTTAGGCTGTTACACAACTCAGAATATGTCATTTTCTTACAAATGTTTGCACATTTGCAAACATAAAGCAGAGATGTAAATCATAAATATTTTTAATCCAGGTTTCAGCAAGTTCTTTTACACTGCTACAGGAGCCCCCAAGCCTGCCTGCAGGCCTAGAGACATCAGCATTGGTGCCATGCGGCCTCATAGATCTGTGAAGAAAACAAAGATGAGTAGGAGTATGGTAGAGACCAAGCAGAAGAGCAGGCATGGAGAATGAAATCCATCTTCAAAGGCATTAGGGTTATCTCCATCTATAATGTTCAAACCAAGGTTAAATTAGAACTCCCCCATGATTTTTCAGCAATTTCAATTAAACCTATTTTTTAAACTGTTTCTTACCAATGAGAAGCCTAGACATTCTAGTGTGTGGTAAACACCTCTCAACATCTGGTTTTACCCTTTTGGGCATATAAAGCAGCTTTTTAAAATCAACAAATTTAGCTTTTATTTATCCAAAATGAAAAGAAATGACTGCTTTACACCTCAAGAGGCAGCACACAAACCCAGGTCACTTTATTGTTCTCCTCACTTCAAGTGACAATCCATCCAGGACTTGACTCACCATTTTTAAGCCCAGTGTTTTCTTAACCTACTCCTGTTCAAGGTGTTTTACATTTATACAGAACTGGGGATGCCAGCAGAAAATTAAAGATGAAAACAGACAGCCAAGAAAAGTGTGAGGTTTTACAACATATCCTAACACTCAACCTCAAAGTGGATCTAAAGTAACCATGCTCTTACAAACTGGGGATGCAATCCATATTTCTCTGAAGTAATTTTTCAAAATACCTCTTCAAGGTGGAGTGAAACTAACCATCATTTATATGCAGTATCATTTTCTCTGATATTCTTCCTTCTTTCTACACCTCTTATGCTGTCCTTTCTACCTTGTCCTTAATGGATTCAGGGTCCTGAAGTCTGGCTGGCACTGACCACACAGACCTTCAGCAGTGGAGGTAGTTTTTATTCTGTCTCAACTCTGTTCCCAGAAAGCCATCTGTCTACAACTCATTACAACCCACTTTCTTGTCATGATCATCTATTCCTGGAGGTACCTGCTGAAGCCTACCAAGAGACCTAAAGCTGGGAGGATCAAATAGGTTCTGAGCCTTCAGTTACCACTAGAACTAGTGAATAACTGTTGTGGGGCCTGCATCTTCTAAATGTCCCCAAGTAAACATAACATGGTATTCTATTAAAGCGACCATACATGTAACATAGCCACATGTTGCTCTAGAGCTACAACTACAGCTGTTACTTGCATTCACATAAATATGTACATGCTGACCTCTTTTGCTTTCCTCACAGTGTGTAGATCCATGAGCCTCAGAAACACCACTTCAAGAATTTCCTAAAGACATCGACTTTGCCCAGTCTTCAGCACCCCACACTAGCAGTGGAGAAACTATCCCATAATGTACAGACTGAGTGAATGATGGAGTGTTGCATATATGCATACACACGACACTGACATTTATAAGCATTTTTATGGGTTCAACAGAATATTTGAAAAATATGAATTCTGTTCATTCCCCAAATGAGTGTAAGGAATCTTTTCAATTTACACGAAACAATGTTTTGTATGTATTAATATATTCGGCTCATTGTTCAGGGGACTAAGAACTTTGTATCAGGCAAGGAGCCTACTTCTTTAACCTGGCCTGAAACAGCACAAAATAATCCCACACCTGAAAAAAGGAATGGCCTTTCTAAATTAGATGGTTTCCCTACTCAAAACTATATTGCACTGAACAAAGGGAAATATTAATAAATAATGAACAAAAATTGAAAAAATATCCCAACAAAAATAATAAAGTGCAGGTGCACTTCTAGTGCAACTTCTAGTCTAACCTATTTTATACTCCAACAAAAGTAGAGTCGCTTTCTACTTAGTGAGAAAATAAGGACATTCTAGGAAATATGCCACCTTTATGGACAGGTACCTACAGATTAGGAATAGATAGTACAACCTTCCAATAGCAACCCCATGTAGCTAGCTTACCATAAGGCATTAGAAGTCACTACAGATGCATATGAGGACGGGGCATTTAGTCCAGTGGCTCGAAACCTTCCTAATACTGTGACCCTTTAATACAGTTCCTCATGTTGGGACTGCATTTAATTTTATAATCTACTTTTTCATTCGTTGGATTCAGGAAAATTAAGACAAACATCTTGGAATTTAAAGTAACTTCTTATGGGGAAAATATACCATGTAAAGAAGTTTAGAAAATAAAAGAATTTTAGGAAATAGAATTCAGAATTGGCCTCTATACCTCTCACCTTATGATCCAAAAAGGACTTAAAATTATTTTCCACAGATGGGTGGCATATAGAAGTGCTGTGACTAAATGTGGAAAACTAAAGATCGTCTATACAATCCAAATTTCACGTATTCAAACTTACGTCAAAGTTCATATACAAGGCCCCTACTCTGGGTCTCAGGTATATTAACTTGTGTTTAAGACAATATACAAATGCCAAGCCACACCCATTACTGAGTTTACAGAACCCCATCACAATGGATCTCCAGCCTTATGAGGAGGCTTCAAGAATGGAGGTGGTTGACTTTGGAACCCACTGAATTCCTACTATGTTAGCACCCTCGGGACAGGCGTGAGAGTTCACAGCCAGTTTCCATGGAATTGACAGATAGCCACACACAATGGCACACAGAGAGACACAGAGAGCAGGGGAGAGAGTGTTCTTCTCACAGGCAGTTCTTGAATTATTCATGGTAATAAGAAGCTGTCCAGCAAGCATAGCTAGAACCCACAGGAAAAAAAATCTCAAATTTCCTTTTGTTACCACGCACAATACTGTCCCCCAGTTTTGTTTTAAAACTGACAATTTAAAGCAACCTATGTTGAGGACATTAGCAGTTTAAAAAGTTAGTGCCTGTTAATGCTCAGTGTCTTTTAATGGGTTTTTGCGATCCTTTGAGAGACAGCAGCAACAGATGAGCAGCTGTGGACACGCTACTCTGCCCTACTCCAGTCAGTTCCTGTCTTCCTAGGAACTTTTCCCATTAGTTTTCTCCATTTTCAGATTCACCAAAGTCAGTACATCACTGGTTCTCAACCTATGGATCGAGACTCTTTTGGGGGGCAAGGGGAGTCAACAACCTTTTCACAGAGGTCCCATATCAGATATCAAGCATTGTAATTAGTAACTAGCAAAATTAAAGTAGTAAGAAAAATAACTTTATGGTTGGGGGGGGTCACCACAACATGAGGAACTGTATTAAGGATTGCAGCATTAGGAAGGTTGAGAACCACTGCAATAAATGCTCTGTCCTCATTTATATATGTAGCGACTTCTAATACCTTAAGGTGAACTACATGGGGTTGTTCATAGAAGGTGTTACTATCTATTCCTAATCCATCGGTACCTGTCCAAAAAAGGTGAGCAGAGGGAAAAAAAATAAGTGCTCCATAGTGGGCACAACAGAAAGAAAAGTCATGTCCTACACCAAGTATAATCTCACTGGCTATGAATAATGGTGCTTATTTATAATTTGCAGCTCCAAACCTGCTGCGTATGCCAGCTGAAGTACTATCAACCCAACAGAAATTAGTGCACCCCATCCTAACAGCATTCTATTTACTCAAACAAGTCACCTCAGTTCAGTAAGTGGGACCACTCTTTGAAGCATGTCAACTATTTAAATTTTACCACAAATTGACAGTTCTAGAGTCATTAGGAAAAAGGCAACCTTTCTAATGAATTAAGTAGTACTCTCATGTCTGTTTCAACAAGTGGCAAATCTAGCTGAGTTTTTATCATTTAATCCACCAGGGCAAGAAGCCACAAATGCAGTCTCTTACACACCTCGTGTTTATACTCAATTTGAAAATATCTTAGCTGGGCAGTGGTGGCACATGCCTTTAATCCCAGCACTCGGGAGGCAGAGGCAGGCGGATCTCTGTGAGTTGGAGACCAGCTGTTCCAGGACAGCCTCCAAAGCCACAAAGAAACCCTATCTCGAAAAAACAAAACAAAAAACAAAACAAACAAAAAAACACAAAAATATCTTGACTTGTTGCCTTCATAGCTTCTATATGAACATGCAATGTAGAAACTGATAAATGTGCATATCCCGAGTCACATAAGAAAAAAAGCAAACTAGAGTGAGAGGGACAGACAAGCCCACTGTTGGTGCAATGGTATTTTAATGACTTTTTTTTTTCCCCCCCCCCCCAGTGACAGGGTTTCTCTGTGTAACAGCTCTGACTGTCCTTTCCTGGAATTCCCTTTGTAGACCAGGCTGGTCTCGAACTCACAGAGATCTGCCTGCCTCTGCCTCCAGATTGCTGGGATTAAAGGCATGCACCACCACACCTGGCTGACCTTTTTTTTTTTTTTAATAAGATTTATTTTTATTTACATGTCTATGTGTATGCATGTGACTGTAGGTGCCCACTGAGGCCAGAAGTGAGCATTTGATCTCCTGGAGTTAGTTACAGGTGGTTGTGAACCACTCAACAAGGGTGCTGGGAACTGAACTAAGGTCCTCTGGAAGATCAGGAAGTATGCTTAACTTACCTTTGCAGCCCCAACAAATGACTTCTTAGCAGATATATTTGTGTTAAGTGCCTGTGGTCTCTGGTATTTTGTTGCTGCAGGTGGTGGTTTTGTTGTCTGTTTGGTTTGTTTTATTTTCCCTCATCTGATATTGATAAGCTATGGGATAGCACTTTAAGTACCATAGTTCTGCCACTCTTCCTCTTGGCTACTGGGAAACTAACTATACCTTGCATACACTTTAGTGAAAAAAACCACATTTGTTCTACATATCAAAAAAAAAAAAATAAATAAAATGTATACTTTCATTCAACTTAAAAAAGAAGTATGTCGGATTGATTTACTGACCTATATTCACAGTACCTACTTTCTAGAGACACAAACTCAGTATCTCCCAAATTGGTTAAGAAAGCAACTGATTTGAAACAAAGAATTTCCACTGGCTAGAGAAAATACTGGCATTCTTCATTCTAATGTCCTTTAACCACCAGTTCACTTGCTGCTCACTGGCAGGTACTTCTGATTACCAACATCAAACTTTGTAGTGGAAATAAAGATAGTCTGAACACACTCGTTACATATGCAAAAAGTTATAAGAGGTCTGAAAAAACATCTCTGCCCCAATAACAAACAGACCTTGCTGGTGGTGTTTCTAAAGGGAGCTCCCAAGCAAGGCCTTTCAATGAATACTTTCTATGGAAAAGGCAGGCTGCTACTCTGTAATTATTAAACATTTCTTGGAGTATTTGGGTTTCTTACCTTCTCCAAATAGTGTTACAATGGTTGATACATCTTATTTATTTTATTGCTTAGTGGAGTTCTGATTTCTTTCCAGGTAAATTACTCAGCCCCTGCCTCATACTGAGCTAGTACATCAGACAGGATCAGAAGTATCATCAGAAGTTTCACTTTACAATAATGTAAGCACTGAGCTTTTCTTTGTTTTTCTGAGAAATGGTCATAGGTGGAAGAGGCTGGCATGAACTCCTGATCCTCCTGACCCACCACCATACCCAGCTCTTACAAGAACACTATGCCCACACATCCTGAAGACCACACCTCCATGGTTTCATCTCTGCACTCAGCGCTCACCTGCTTTTTCACTGATCGGCTGCTCATAATCTTTTCCACCACTGGGCCTTCTGCATCAACAGATTCCTGAAAGAGAGAAGGTGGCATCAATTGATCTGAACAGAAAACATTTGACCTGTGCTACAAAAGCAAGCAGGAGATCATGTCCCTCTGCCCATGCCTCCACACCCTCTAAGTCACCTGGTCCAGTCACCAGTGGGAAACAAGAAAGACTTCATGCCAAGAAAGGCGAAAGGAAGAGCTGTGCTTCTAACTTCCTGATTGTGTGGTTAATTATGGAGACTTGTTCAGTCCCTCAAGCCACAGAGCACTCACTCCAGCTGCCAAGAAAAAGGACTCTGTGCACAGCAGTGACTTTTCTGCATCCACACTCATGGAGTAAATACCCCTATCACTCAGTTACTGTAGGCAGCTTTTATCTACAGAGGTTGTGTAAAACACCGTACAACAATCTTACAGAGAACAAGCTTTCAACTAGGCACAAAGCTGCATTTAATAGACCTTTCAACTGGCTACCAGTTTGTTAACTAAAGCACAGTAACAGCAAAAGATGGATAAATAAAATCTTTACAATAATCAATTCTACATTACTTGCCGTGTTTCATACAATCTCTTTTATCCATCATTTACATTGCACAGAAAATAAAGTGTGCCCTGCTGGGTACTCCAAGGCAGTAATTTCATAAAGGGGTTCTTACAGTGCCAAACAGCAGGAGGTGAGCGTCAGTGGTTTATTACAGTTCCTTTACAGCACTGAGCTCCCAGAGGTAAATTCAGTGCCTCGTATTCTAGCTGAAACTCTTCCTCAACAGAGACTATCAATTCTCCAAATTGTGTCAAATTGCGTATCATAGCTAGCATAAAAATAAACCTGAGTGAGTTCGGATTTTTAGGATACTACTGAACAATGAATTTCCCAGACGATGCCCCTGCTCAAAGTCCGCCTCTGCCACTGAACTGCTCAGATTCCAGGTATAGGATTCCCAGTCCACCTTGAAAACACATAGGAGACCCCACAGGCTGGCTGCCTGCCTGCTGCTCCGACTGTGAGGTGTTGGATGGAGAGTCTCTCCCAGCAGCATCTGCATCATCTGCCTCCTCATCAGAAATCTTGAACTCCAAGTCTTCAGTGTATCGCTTCCGCTTCACCTGCCTGCTGGACCGCCTCTTCTAAAACGCAACCGCAACAGAGTGAGTTTAAAAGGCAGCCTTTGGTGCTTCTTTATATGGCACAAAGTGGTAATACCTTTGTTGTTGTTGTTGTTTTTATTTTCATCTTAAAGAAAAACTGGTGACTTTAATCCTGAAAGTCAAGTGAAAAGACCATTGTGGCAACCATAGTAATAAACTGGAGCTCTAGGGTTCTGGGACCATGTCAGTCTGCTGTTCCCAACAACTGCCCCTTCAACAAGAACACACAAACAACAGTGAACTGTGCTCCTCATTTGGCCAATCTTCATCAGGAGCAGTGGCCACACTGAGGAGGGCAGCAGATCTCCAGGAGCCCAGGGCACTCTTCTCTATGTTTGTATGCCTGAAATTTTTAATGCAAATAGTCTCCTAAAATAGTGTATTAGAAAATATATATATGTTATATATTTGTGTATATAAATATATAAATACCGTTATATTATTATTTCCCAAGGTCCTTCAATATGCACTTTAACTTTGAACTAAAAAGAAACAGTTCAGGGCTGGGGACATGATAAAGCACTTACTTAGCATTCACAAGACCCCAGGTTCGATCCCTAGTGTTGGAGGAGGACGAGTGGGAGAAGAAAAGAAACTGAATGCACAATTCATAATGAGTGGCTATAATAAGTATGTGGGTTTTTTTTTTTGTTTATTTGTTTGTTTTGAGACAGAGACATACTATGTTGCCATGGTTGACCTGGAATTCATGATTAGACCAAGATAGGCTTCAACTCACAGAGCTCTGCCTGTCTCTGTCTCCCAAATGCTGGGATTAAAAGTGTGCGCCACCATGCCTGGCCGATCTAGTCTTAATACAACTTTTTATCATGTGCCTTAAAATTTAAAAGACTGGTAACAGCTATCTAGCATCAGTGTGACTGCTAGCAGAATGCATACTTTCACTCTTGTGGTCAGTGTAACCCAGCATGGCCTTTGCGGACAATGCAGTGAGTCTATCAGTATGAAAGCACACCCATCTTTGACCTGGCAGCTCTACTCATAGTGCGATACAGAACATATGTGGAAATCTGTCCAAGGTAAACTGACGAACCAAAGCGTATCACACAAGCAGCTTCTGATTCTACCTAAGACAAACTCCACCAGTTTCTAATCTATGTGGATGTGCAGGTGTGATCAATAAGCCCTGAAGGTGCAGTTATGCGCATCATCTTTACCTCCCTGGTTCTCAAAAACATGCAACCAGAAAACAAATGTGGGCGCTTTTGCTACCAGAAACAAATCTGAAAAGAAATACACATTGTTACTGGGTTTGGGGCTCTGAATAAAGAAATGCAGGATCGGGGGAAGCAGTGCATTTTAATCTCAATCCTAAAAGTAAAATACTGGAAACTTTTAAAGAAATAAAGGGCTGGAAAATCAAAATTCATAAAGAATAATGATACCACTGAGTAATACTGGGAATTCCTGCTTTTTAAAGAGCCTCAAGAATTTGACAGCCAAACACTAGGAGAGAGAAGCAAAACGCTCATTACCACTCCAAGGCAAGGCAGACACTGCCATGTCTCAGGGCCAGACCACCATTGCCACCATCTCACAGGAGGCGTTCTTATCTGCTTTATAAAGATACTTTTGGTTACAATAGAGGAAGAGAAAATTTAACTGTGTTTCTAAAGCCCTGCTGAGGCAACTCCTTTTGAACAATTCAAAATGTTAGAGTTAACATGTCATTTACTTTTGATAACCAACCAGAAAATTCAGAACTTCTCACTGCAAGCCCTCCCAGATGTACCACGGGAAGAAGAAGGGTAATGAACAAGCAGTCTGCATCACTTCCTGTGTCAGACACCAGGAAGACAGACATGCAAGGCAGGTCTCTGTCTGTGTGGCTGACTGCTGGTCAGCCCAGAACTGTTACACTGAGACAATTCGACAGAAAACTCTGAGCTTGGCTTGAGTTGCTAAACTCTCTTCTGTACCAGAAATACAGAAAGGAAAAGAAGTGGAAAGGAGACAGAAGGGAAGGAGAGGAGAGGAGAGGAAAGGAAGGAAATAATCCCACCCTCAATCAGAAAGTCCACTTTAGTCAGAATGCAGACTTTTAAAGAAAACACCAGCTGTGTTTGTGAAGCCATGATGGAATTTACTTAACTTGGGAAATAATTCTTTTATTTTGTTTTGTTTTGCTTTGTTTTGAGACAGAGTCTCTTTTCATAGTCTTGGAACTAGCTATGTAGACTAGGCTGCCCTCAAATTCACAGAGATCAGTGCTGGGATTAAAGGTGTGTACCACCACATCCAGACTGTGAAAATAAGTTTTAATACTGTCCAAATATTATTGTCATAAAGCTCCTACTTTAAGCACAAAGTAAGACAAAACATCCTCAAGAATACAATGAATTTCACTAAAAATTTTTAGTTCCAAAGTTCTTAACCAACTTTTAAGAGGTACCTATTAGGGCTAGAGAGATGGCTCAGTGGTTTGTAGCACTTGTTGCAGAGGACCCAGGTTCAATTCCCCACACCCATATCATCTGTAACCATTCTACCCTCTCAGGTTCCTCTTTCAGGCTGTCCTGTGACAGTAGACACATAGACACATTACAAAGAAATTCTTTGCAAGAGAGCCACATATTACAAACCTTTGGACCTTAGGCAGGAAGACTTGGGAATACACTAATGGTCAGAGGAAGCCCAACCAGTTTCTAAGGATCATTGTAACGGGCCTCAACAGTCACTGCTCCCTGCTAACTCATTCCCAGCCATCCCAATAGACCAGACTGGCTTACTTCCAGGGAACCTATCAAGAAAATAATTCTTAACTGTCAGGTGTACTTGTGAGTCCTCTTTTAGGCCCTCTCAGTCCAAATAGTGAAGACAGCAAACTTCACACAAAGGCACCAAACTCTGACCTACTTCCACTACTACATTTACTTGTAGAATTCAGCAGACTCTCACACTGGGCCATTCGGCAGAGTTGTCATTTGGGAATCACTGACTTGTTCATGGATACTCTACCATGAAAATATCTTATCCCCAACTAGATGTCAAGAAGATAAGCTACAAAGTATGTTTTTGTTTTTTATTATGAAAAAATTAATGTGGGCAAGACAGATAGCTCAGTCAGCAAAGTGACTGAAAAGCCGACTGTGATCTTTAGAATAACAAAAAAGCATGGCATGGTTTACAATTCCATAATTGGGGAGGTGGAGACACAAGCTCTGGGGCTCAATGGCCAGACAAGACTAGCCTACTTCACAAACTCCAGGACAGTGAGACCCTGTCTCAAGAACACAAGGTGGATGACTCCTGAAGAATGACACCAGAGGCTGGCCTCTTGCTCCCACATGAATGTGCATCTATATGTGCACATGTGTTCATGCATACATATACCTGC